TTTAAAAAAAAAAAAAGCTGGTTGTGGTGGTACATACCTGTCACCTCAGTACTCATGAATCTGAGGGAGGAGGATCACCACAAGTTTGAGACCTGCCTGGGCTACAGTGAGACCCTGTCTCAAAAACACTAAAACAAAGCCCAAACCTGAAACAGTAAGGACAGACGGAAAGCAAAATTAGAAAGACTTAAGGTGTGTTATGTATATGAACCAACTCCCCACAACGTATGTAATCACTATGTCCTGAAAAAAAAAGTTATGGTTTGTGTCCACATGTCCCCTCAAAGCCTCATGCAGTCATGGGGAAGCTTCTGGAGTTTATGATGGACTCATAGTCAAATGCTGGGATTCTGGGTGTGAACACTGTACCCTCCGTGGGGTGGTAGCCTACGTACAATATGCGGGAGGGAAAAGGAGGCTTATTTGGTGCTTCTCCTTTGTGTGTGTGTGTGTGGTACTGGGGATTAAACTCATGACCTTGCGCTTGCTAGGCAGGCACCTAAGCCGCTGAGCTATCTCCCAGCCCTTCTCCTCCCTTTTCTGCTCTGCTTTCGCTGTTTTCTACCACCATGAACTGCTACCCTCTATGTGACACTGCCTGGGAGCCAGCTGAGTGCGCCTGAAACCTCTGCAAACTGAGCTAAATGAACGTTTAATTTTGAGTGTTGGGTATTTTGTCTTGACAAGAGAAAAGTTACCAAGATACAGCACAAAAACAAGTATATACTCTCTCAAGGATGAGGGGGGAGGGAACTTTTATACTGCTGGTGGGAATATAAATTAGTATAAATACTATGGAATCAGCATAGAGGTTTTATTTATTTAATTATTTTTGCGGTACAGGGGATTGAACTCAAGACCCTGAACTTGCCAGGCAAGCACTTTTTTTTTTTTAATTTTATTTATTTATGTGTGTGTGTGTGTGTGTGTGCGCGCGCGTGCGGCCAGCTCAGCCCACCAGGGGGCAGGGCTGGCTGACATGTGGTGCTGGGGGATTGAACCGTGGTCCCTGTGCTTTGCTAAGCTTGTTCCAGGTAGGTGCTTTAGACCACTGAGCCATCTCACCAGCCCCAAGGCAAGCACTTATTCTGAACTATTTCCTCAGCCTTCTTTTTTTTTAATTTTTAAAAATTGTATTTATTGGGCTGGGGAGATAGCTCAGTAGAATAAGTGCTTGCCTGGCAAACCCAGGGTCCTGGGCTCAATCCCCGGTACTGTAAAAAACAAAACAAAACAAAACAAAAAAAAAACTGAAAAAAATTACATTGATTTCATACAGGAGCTCACTACACAGCTTGTACTCATAGTGATCCTCCTGTTTCAGCCTCCCCAGTGCTGGAATTACAGGTGTGCACCACCATGCGTAGTCTTAATGGTTGGCTCATGGCATTAAGACTTAATGTGTCCATGGCATCAGTACCAGGGATTGAACCTGGGTCCTTGAGGTTGCCTAGGCAGGCAATGCTGAGCTATCTCTGTAGTCCCAAGGCTGAAGAACTCTTAACTGCCCACCAGACAAAATCCAATACACCCAGCTTGAGAAAATGGTTTTTAATATGAAAATTGTATTTGAACACAAAAAATACAACACATAACACATAACTCTTATTCTATCAATAAGGACATTTTTATCTCAACTAAGAACACGAAGATTTCAGTAAGGCATGTTGGGGCCAGGGAGATGGCTCGGTGGAATAAACACTTCCCTGGCAAGTACAAGGGTCTGAGTTCAATCCCCAGTTCCGCAAATAAAATAAAATAAAATAAAAAATAAGGCATGCCAAGGAGACAGAAACCCTGCAAAGTTCTATTAAACTTATGTCACTAGGAAAAACGATGTTTATTTGGCTCTGGTCACAGTTCCATCATGTCTACCTTCTTTGTAAGTTCAGCCTCAATGGTATCCTAAAGAAAGAAAGAAATACCATAAATAAGGATATAAGCAATGCTGTAATGTCTCATGTTACTTAAAATAAGGGGAGCAAAAAAGAAAAACATTAGCAAAGAAGTGTGTTTCAATATCATCACAAATTAAATATGCTTTAAACAGTCCTTTGTATATATTTATGTTTTTTTGCAGTACTGGGGATTGAACTCAGGACCTTGCGCTTGCCAGGTAAGCACCTGTTCTACTGAGCTAACTCCCCAGCCCTATGTTTTTCTATTTATTTAGACAGTCTTGTTTATGTAACACATCTTTTTTTTTGGTCTTTTTGAAACAAGGTCTCACTATGCAGTTCAGGCTGGCCTTGAACTCACTTTGTAGTCCAGGCTGGCCTCAAACTCACAGTGATCTTCCTGAGTGCTGCAATTATAGGATTATAGGCATATGCCATCACTCCTGTACTTTCAAACTAATCTTGAACTTGGTATCCCTTTGCCTCAGCCTCCCTAGTAGTAAGATTATAGGCATTAGCCATCATTCCTAGCTTGTTCCTTTGCTTTTAGACCTCTTTTTCCAACTCCCCTCAAAAGTTTTCAGACTCTTAATTGACTCCAATAAACACCCAAGGAGGGGCAAAATCTAGAGAAACACATTATTTTTTTT